TTTTTTTGTTATTGTTGTGTCTCTCACTGTTCACATAAACCTACCATTGAAATTGTAGACTGATCATTTCTTTGTTAGTGGGCAAACTTACAAAATCAGCTGGGGTTCAAATAATTTTTTCCCTGACTGTATATACGTAAACAGTGAATTAAATGAGAGCAATGTGAAAGGGATTGTTCAGGGTGATGAACCTACAGAGGATTATCACCCAGTGTTTCTCGTCACCCAGCTTGTTTTTATTTTACATTTTTGGTCCTGCACCATATGGCAGACAAAGGTAACAACGAACTGTTGAACGGAGCATGTAGAGCTGAATACTTTCCTCAGAGGAGACCACAAAGAGAGTCAGTATTAGATGTTGAACAGAAACACAACTCCAAATAAATGCTTCCATTGCTTGGTGTCTGCTGTATGTGTCAAGAAGAAAATGTTTGCTATAACAACTTTATGAACTAATAATATGTCAGTGTTGTGTTCACAGCTTGTTCCACTATCCCAAGTGGCTGGGATCAGTTGGTGATTAGCATTAAAATATTTGACCATTTTTGCTTCAGGCTAATCTCAGAACGAGGACTTCCAGCTCTGCGAACTCTGTTTGACAATGTCCACTTCAGAGGCAAAGGACACGAGGTGAGAGCTGACAGCAAAACCGTGAACAAAGTCAAACACAGCAGATGTTGTGGATCTTGCCTGTACTTTTCCTTATATACATTTAACCAAAACTCCGCAACGTGTGCTCTTGTCCAATCAGGCCGAGAACCTGCGGCTGTTGATGCAGAAGATGGAGAACTGGGCCCACAGGCTGTACCCCAAACTGCAGTTTGAAGACTTTATTGACAAGGTAGAGAAGCTTGGCAACAAGAAGGAGGTGCAGGTAGGATGAACATGTTGATGTTGATGTTGATGTTGATAAGCGGCTCAAGTGTGCAGATTTTCTGTAGTGCATTATTTCTAACAATTTGTCTTTTTTTCTGCGGCAGACTTGTCTCAAACGGATACGACTGGACATGCCACTGACACATGAGGATTTTATGGATAAAGATGGTAAGAGATTAAATATATTGATTTATTGATAAGTGATTTGTATTTAGCCATGTTTACACCAGGGGTCAGAATAAACACCCTTCCTATTTGTGTAATGTGGTCTGCTGAATAATTGGGGAGTGAAGTCCAGAATTTCCCCAAATCAGTAAGATGTACAGTATGAGAGTAAAAAAAAAAAGTTTTCATTTTCAGGTTTTGTGTTGTGTTTTGAGACAGGCCCTACATATGAAACCACAGAAAAGTATATTTGTATAAAATTGAACAAGGTTCAGATTTACACGACAAATTCACAGTTGTATGAAAAACTGTTTTGTGTAGGTGACGAAGAGGCAGCACTTGAAATGCAAGTATTTGGGGATCCTGATCCATTTAGTGGAACAAGCTTCCCTAGTGACCTAGATGGGCTGGTCCACTCCACCCCAGCCCCAGCTGCCCCCTCCCTGACTGAGGAGCAGTGCAGAAGAATGGAGCTGAACAGACAGCGGGCCCTCGAGAGGAGGCTCGCACGGCAGCAGCAAACGGGTGAGAGACACCTCATCAGTTAACAGTCAAGATACAGTCATAAAGACAAATAATCAGATAAAGGTCACCAAAATTCAGCGGATGGTGTATGACTGCAGCCATTTTCTTTAGCATTTAATCTGCTTATTGTTTTCTTGATTAATTGTTGAGTCGATGAAAGTGCTCATCACAGTTTCCCGGAGCCAAAGGTGATGCGCAGATGTCATTTTATTTGACCAACATTCTAAAAACACAAATGTATTCAATTTACAATTATGTGAAATAGAGAAAAACAGCAAATCTTATCTTCAATCTTTATTTGAGAAAGTGGAAGTTTTATTATATATATATATAGCCAAGGGGTATGACAAGATTTTGTAATTTTTACGGTGTAGAAACTAGAGCTGTTAAATGGAGCATATATTCACTTATGCTTATTAAAACAAATGTGTTGCTGCTTGTGCAGCATCTATTCTTTTTAATCCTAATGCTACTGCATTATTCTCCTTCGCTGTAGGTCCTTCAGACTCCCAGACTGTTGATGCACCCACATCTGTTTCCTCCACAAACACCCTCAACGGTTCTAACACTCAAGATGAGAATGTGGAGGGCTTAGACAAGGAGCCAGGTGGCAGCAGCACACAACAACTGCACAACAACCTTGCACAGAAAGACTCTGAGCCTTCAGCTGAATCCAGTCTTTGTGAGGAAGAGAACGAGTACAACCCGAGCCCTGACCATCAACCTAGCAGCAGGTGTGAGGGTGGGGATTAATACTCAATGCTGCACACACTCTTTGTGGTTAGGAGTGTCACAAGCTTCATTTGTATGAACTTTTTTTTTTCCTCTGTAGCCTGTAAGCAGCTGATCCAATATGTACAAATGTAGAATTCCTGTTCATGTTTTATTTGCTGCTGGATATGGGTAAATGTACACCTCTGTTCATGGTGTTTTACATCCAAACTAGATTGATTCCACATTTTCTGTTGTGGGATTTTGGCATGCACATATATGGGTACAGACCTAGGTTATCATGGAATCGAATAGGGCTGCGCCTAGCCGTTATTCTGAAGGATTATTTAGATATCACTCAATTTTTTTTAAACTTCAGGAAACAGTAAAAAAAAAAAAGAGGTCCATCAGAGTTTCCTAAAACCCAAACTGAAGTCTATAAGGTATTGTTTTTTCCAACCACCATTAAAAGATGTTCAGTTTGCTGTCAGGGTAAAAAAAACAGCAAGTACTCTCATTTAACTGGAATCCACTGGAGCATAAACTGAAGAAATCTGTGGGCATTTACTGATAAAGCAGGGAATAATCAGTGTCTTTCTCCAGCTGTTCCTAAAATGCAAAACATTAACAATACACTCTTCCTTCCAAATTAAATCTGTATGGCATAATGCCTCCTGTACAATCTCACAGACTTCACATAAACACACTGGAAGATGAACAGTTTTCTTAAGTCAATGTTTATAAGTCTGTACAGTTTTAACACAAAATACCTGCGTGTCCATCATGCAGGTTACACTCGAGGAGCACACATCCCAAAAGATTTTACAGTAGCACTTTCTTACCAAGAGGCATGGTGGACTACAATAATACTTGCATCACACGTGATAAAGGCAAACACTAAAAACTTTTTAAAAACCAGATTTCATTAAAAAAAATTGGTGCACTGGATATTTTAAGCCTTGATTATTATAACCAGTGTCAGCTTCAAATCCACCACGGGTTGGGTTACACACTTAAATACAGTAAAGTACATTGTTTTCAAAAGTTCAGAAACATTTATAAATGGATTTGGCGTTTCAGTAACTCTTCAAATTAAACATTAGGTTATATTAAAAATCAATCCCAATTCATGTGTTAGTGCATGTGTATCAGTATAGCATCTCAGGAGTGACATACACGTTTAATGTTGCAGTGGGTACACTGTTTTCACTGAGAGTAACTTCACATCTTTTGGAGACTATCACCTCAGCATTCCATGAACAATTCTATATGTACTGTGACTTTGCCCTAAAATTAATTAAAATTCATGTTTTATTACTAAAGTCTGGTTCTTATCTTTCGACCAACTTAAATTGCTTCAAGCAAAAATCAGCCTTTTCCCCCTCTCATTTAACGTTACCAAAGACCTTGTTTTTGCCTTGCATTATCAAAAATAATCTTAGAAAGAATACAGATAAATAACTACAACTCTGCCTTCAAAATGATCTTTAAAAAATGCTGAAGAACAATAATTTCATTTGCTTGGCTCCTTTTAATATACATTGTTCATTGATATTTCCTGATTTTTCACTGAGATGTTCAGTGATTCAAAGACTCACTGGGCTTTTCTGTGTCTATCGTTTGATTTACACCTGACCTATGCTGTTGTTGCACAGACCTGAGGAACCATGTCCAAGTCCATCAGAGCCAGCTCTCTAACCTCCTCCAGTAGCGAGTACAGGTTGGGAGTTTTGCTCTGGCAGAACTCTCTCTCTTCTCTGGAGAATTTGTGGTGCCGGGCCGCCTTCTCCTGGGCCTGGTGGTAGGCCTCCTCGGCCAGACGCACCACCTCCTGGACCAGCTGGCAATGGCCCTGGGAGTGGGGCTGCTGGGGCTTGGTGCTGTGGTGAGGCTTGTTGCTGATGACCTCAAGGTTCAGACTGTCTGCGTGGCAATGTGTCGATTGGACTGAAATACGAACCTGCAGAAACACAAATACAAATGATATCAGCAGCCTCCTCAGGTTGGAATCTGTTGCAAATACACATCATAGCTGCAAACTAAAAGTAAAAAAAATATCACTTGGGTATTACGATCCTGTGTCAACATCACTTTCTGGACCCGTCTCTTTTCTCTCATGGTTATGTACTCTTTGTAGCCAATAGAGGTTTACTTTTGCGTGGTTAATATTTAGGCATTTGTTCTTACAATTCAATCATGATTGCAAGAGAAAGATTATCCACACACTGCAAGACTGAGCTACAAGTAAAACTTCATTTCCCATGTGCCCACTGCAACACACCAAGAGAAATCCTCTGCTCCAGCTGTGTTTGTGAAGCCATTCCTTCACTGGCTAATTTAGCTGCTAAAATCAATCGGTACCCATGTTCCACAAAAGGAGGAGGTGGCAAACACAGCAAAGGTCCAAGAGCCCAGCTTACCACAGCCTGCAATTGAGAACAGGATCCAGAGCCAAAAGTCACTGATCAAGTGGCCAAAATCCTGTGAGAAATGTGAGTGGGAAACGGTCAACCAGGACCTCCTGGCAAACTCCTGGGACAACTGAAGGGAACTACTATAAAGAAGCTGGACAGAATTGGAGAACTCACCTACAACTATGGAGCTTAGCGCTTTGGGGTTGCAGACGTAAGGAAGATAACGCCTTCCATCGCTATCAAATCCAGAAGGCAGCAGGAAATAAACTGATTAAGGACAGGAGGCAGCTGAAGGAACAGTGGAGGAAAACTACAGACGAGGAGGAGGGAATAGATGTGCTGCAAACAGAGATTAAGAACCAACTCATCCTTAGAGAGAGCAGAGAATTTGAGAAAGAGGTGTAGGAAGAAGGAACAGACCTGAGCTAGCTTCTTCAAGGACCCCTTCAGTTTTGTGATAGGGCTGGTCACAAATGAGAAAAGTGGCAAACTGGCAACATCAAGGAAAGAGCTTGAGGCTCATGTAAAAGTCCACTCGGACAGCCAACGGGGCCACCAGATCACAATCCCACCTGACATGCCTCCACTACCTTCCCCTGAACATCAGCTAGACATCAGCCCCCCAAAGTGGAGGAGGAGTGAGGAGGTAAAAGCTGTATGTTGAGCAAGTGCCACATCATCTTCTGGGCCCAATGGAGTCCTGTACAGCTTTTACTAAAATGCACCAGACATGCTACACTTCCTGTGGAGATGGATGAAGGTGGTGTGACGGACCTGGGAAATCCCAATAGCCTGGAGGAGGGCAGGGGGCATCCTAATCCCAAAGGAAAAGCACTCTGCTTTTTAAACAGGCCTGGAAAATGTTTTAGGAGTCTGGAAATCCACACATTACATTTTACACTCAACTTTTTTTGTTTACTGCACAAGGCATTTTTGATATAAACAGTTTTGCAAAAGGTCATTGCCATGTTATCATACTGTCATGATGCAATTTCACTTACTGTAATGTCACCAGACAACAATTACGGATTACTGTCTAGCTTTTAAATGATAAACCTGTTCTGTGACTCACAGTGATGTGGTCAAATAGTCTGAAGGTGGAGGTGCCACAGCTGGAGGTGGTGCTGATGTGGTCTGGGTACCGTCGCACTGAGCCGCTTTGCCACTCACAGCTGCCATCTTGTCCTGTAGCCACCACCTGACCCTCCCGATTCTTCATGTACACCGGCCCCTTCACACCATACCTGGGGGAAACGCAGGTGGGGTGAGGGGAGCTGGACTGAATCTAGATTTATAATACGTCTCCTAGCAGACGTCGACTTTCAATAGTAGGAAAAGCACGATGGCTCTGTGCCATTTTGGTGAATCCACGATACCAAGGTCCTGGAACTGGAACAACTAACTGTAATACATCCTTTATTAAGGTTATTAATACACCTGTGATTTTCCTGCTATGTCAAAATGATTGCTATGAAAAAGATCTGCTACAATAACACCAGTTAGGTTCTCGTTAGGTCACACTTCCTTTGGTCTGGGACCCCCTAAAATACAATAATGCTTTATGAAGCTGAGTACTGAGTTTTTTTCTTTGGAAACCAATTCACTTAAATCACTATTAACAGAAGGTTTAGTCCTCAATGTAAGCCCTTATCACAAAGATGAAAAACATGATGATTGGATTTTTTATAGCACTTACCAAAACCACCTCTTTAAATTCTAAATCGATAAGGAGTCATAAGTGATTTAATCGATCTGATTTGTTTCTACCGATACACACAGTTGCACAAAAAAGTATTTATTGAACACACCCATTAAACATACACATTTAGTGGCATCAGAAGCCCAGTGTTGCCATGATGTTTTCCACCATCACTGTGTACGTTTAATGGGTGTGTAAAATAAAGACATGAAAGATCATGACTGTTTTATCAGCTTAGAAATGATGTTTGTTTTGTGACTTTGGTGAAGTTCAGATCACATTTCATGACCAATTTATGCAGAAAACCAGGAAACTGCAAACAGTGCCATTACTTTTTCTCGTGACTGTATATTTTGATCATCCATAGAATGCAGCCATGCATATAGGTCTGAATGATGCTGCTTATTAAAGATCACAGAAAGCCTTGATTTGGTGATTTGCTGATCAAAGGATGTAGGAACAAAAAACATGCTTAATTTAATCAAAGACAATAAGAAAAAATATCCTGTCATCCCCAGACTTTAAAAAATAACCAACTGGTTCAACAAGCAAAAGCAAGGTAGTTTCTTACTCGGGGACAAACACCAACACGCCATTGTCTCTGATGGAGTAGATGACACCGTCGGCGATGCAGCACTCATCTGTCTGAGGGTCTCTTTCTTTGAAGAAGAGACACTGAAACAGCTCTGTGGACAGCTTCTGGGCTCGCTGGGCTGCCTGGAAAGGTCACACAGGTCAGAGCTCAGAGGAGACTTAGTTTATTTTATTTAATAAGTGAACTACAAAGCCACAGACTCACAGAGCAGCACTGACCCTGTTCTTTTTGTTAATATGCTGAGCCATTTCTTCCAGTTCTTTGCTATTGGCTAATGCTCTATGAGGGCCCACTCCGCTTTCCATCTCGATAGCTGCAGTAAGAAGTCGGTGGACAACGATGTCGGCATAGCGACGGATGGGTGAGGTAAAGTGTGTGTAGCGATCCAGAGCCAGACCTAACAGGCAGAAAACCAGCCGTCAGTGCTCTATACATCCATTCTAAATAAAAAAAAAATTTTCAATCTTGTTTTTAGTCTGAAAAACCATGTAAATGTAATGAATTCTTCTGCTTCTTTACAGGAAAGTGTAATGAACCCATATCCTTCATTTGCATTGAAAATATAAGACTACACAAAGATAGAGGCAAACGCAGCTCCACTGAATAACAGAGTAATAGCTCAGTGTCGGTGTTGTGTAGTGTACCATAATGGTAGTACTGGTCTTGGGATTGAGCTCCAGTGGATAAGTACAGGGCCTGGGACATGGCATGGGTGGCCATCATTCTCAGCAGCCTGTTCACCAGTGGGTCCTGTGGGTCCACTGCCCGGTTCAGAGAGTCAGCTAAAGCCTTGTTGGTCCTGAAGGGACAGATTCAAGTATGTGACTCTCTATATGATATGGTCACAGATTTCAACAGATTGTGCAACAGAGTATAACAAATCATCTCAGCCCTATTGGTGTTGTGTGAACAAGGAACCAGTTCAACACACTTTTATATTAGTGCACAATGTGAACTTCCATATAAGACACTTATAAGATTGCTAAAATCGGTCACCTGGTATCAATGGTGAATCCCCTGGCTGTGGCGCTTTCCACCAGTTGCTGGAAGAACTCCTGCCGAGGTGGCGGGTGACCCCGCAGCAGGGCCTGATGAGGGAAGAGCTCCTGGATCTTGCGTGCCACCCAGTGGTTGGCATAAATCATGCATTCAGCCACAGTCTCGTGGACCTCCAGGGGCTGACGGGGGACCAGGGCTGTGATGTTCTTTTCCTCATCCAGCTGGGCACGCACCTGAAGAGGGATGGTGAAATACTTTGATTCAAATGCATGAAAACACTTGAACATGTACTCAGGGAACTTATGTACAGTGGGTGGGTTGGGATGTGCTGTGTGTGAACTAGATGGGTTTTAAACCATTTACCCCCCATAAAAACCAGACATCTTTATTCTGGTAAGACATCAAAGGATAACCCTGGGAATAGTGTGTATGTCTTTATTGTCACCAAATACTATGAAAACACTGAAACCAACAAGCAAATGACACTAACAATTACTGTGATGCATATTAAAGGCTGATTTGTCTTATTCCTCTGTACCATACAGCTCCACTGTTTAACAAAAAATTATATGACACTATAATACTGAATAACATGTCCCTTCATTACCATGAACATACACACTAATTTAAGCTGAGTCAATCTGACATGCACCATTCTGCTAAACCAAATACTCACCATAGCACCAAACGCATATTAATTTTAAAATCGGCCCAAACAACTGCACTATTTCCTCCATCTAAGAACTACAGTACAGTATCAACTACAGTAGCCAATTAAGAAATTACTAAGCCTTTTAAAAAATGA